AAGGACATGTCCTGGTCAAAAATGACTCCAAGGTTCCTCACAGCGTTACTGGAGGCCAAGGTAATGCCATCCAGAGTAAGAATCTGGTTAGATACCATATTTCTAAGATTTTCAGGGCCGAGTACAATAACCTCAGTTTGATCTGAATGAAGAAGCAGAAAGTATCATGAACCAACAGGTTTGCCCAGGAAAGTGGACCCAAAACCTCAGACAAACATGGGCGTGGAATGCTTACAGTGATATTTATTTGAAAAGGTGGCCAAAAGTGACGAGGGGCCCAAAAGGCTAGTGGCAGGAACGCGGAAGAGGCCAGAGAGGCGAGGGGATATTCTGTAACAGAGGGAGAGGTAGTTAAAATCGAAAGAGAAAACTAGAGCTTGATAACTAGAAACTGGAGAATAGTTCGCCTTACTGTGCCAGTCATGGTTAGTTTCACTGAGGGGAGGGGAGAGAGGTCTGTGGGAAGCTTCTGGAGGGTCTCAAGCTGAAGCGTGGAGGTTAGAGGGCAGGCGGGCGAGCTGGCTGGGAGACAGGGACTGTCCCAGTAAGGTGAAGCCAGGGTTGAAACTCCGCTGAATGAAGGGAAGACAGGAATTACTCCAACAGATAAATCACACAAGGAAAACCACGAAGGGAAACGTAATTTACCACCAAGAAGAGTAGAACAAACTGGCAAGGAGGGGCCGGTTGAGTCAGCTGAAGTAGGTCTCCCGCTGATTGCTCGTAGCTGAGGCTCACTTGAAGCACTGAAGTCCCTGCCCCAAAGGGATGGCTCAGCAGCCACACAAAAACCCCCTCCTGGCACTCCCACCGACCATGACAAAAAGTTTGTGGCCATCCCAATCTTTATGTCTTATGACATTCTTGACATTTCAGACTTGGAAGTGCTAATTCTCATCCTAACTGTGTCACACCACACTAGTGCAAACTGGAAGTCAGTCCCTTGCAAAATCAACAAAATCAAAAACCAGATAAGATAAAAGTTTATTAATCCCTCGGGTGTATTACTCTGGGAAATTCGGTAAGATCAGAGGTAAAATCAGAGATTATACCCTGAGACCATTGATCCCAGCACCTAATAAGTGTGTAGCCCTTGAATGCACCTAAATATTCTGTCCAAAAAATTATAAACAGAATCAGTGACAAAGGACAGTCCGGTGCCAATCTGCGGGGCCAACAACCCTTGGAGAGGAACCTT